ATGCAAGTAACAATTCTTCAAGAAAAACATCTGATCAGCATCTTGTATGGATAATCTTCTGCTTTGTTCTTCCTGTCACTTATCTCTGCACACCAGTTCCATGAACTCAAGCTTTAAAAAAAAAAAAAGTCCAGGGTGCCTGCAGATACCTTATACAGGGAAATGTCCTCCGAGCTGTACTCTTTCATCATCATAGACTTGGCAAGCCCAAACTCCAGAGCAATGCTTCTTCTATCATCCCAATTACCAAGCAGTAGCACACAATACAGGGCTGCTGGGTAATGGAGGAAACCACAAGGCTAGGTAACAATAACAAAGGGCAAACAACCGGTTAGTGCATTGGTTAGAAAGGTGATGGGGTGAGCATTAACTGGCCGTTCAATGGCAAGCAATAAAGTATATCTAAAGCCTACATCCTGTTTGATAGGATAGGAAATGGTCAAATCCCTGTATATTTTTTTTATTGGCTGTGCCATTTCGGAGATTATCCTTCATGTGCTATCCTAGATACTAGAGGTGCACTGAAATGCAAACCGAAATAAAAAAAATTGTCAGGCCGAAACGGAAAATGTTTTTATTTTAATTTTTTCACATTTTTTAAATATTTTATTTTTTATAAACTTATTGTTTTTATTTTTATTTATTAATTCATTTTTTACTCTACTTTTAGGGGCTTCGGGGAAATATTGGGGGTCTAAACAGATCCCTGATTTTTCCCTTTTAAAATAGAAAAAGAGATTGAGAACACAGAGTCCTCTATCTCTTTTTCTATGTCCCCTGTTGTCAATGAACAGGAATCCTCTATACTGAGTGTTCCTGTTCATAACATGAGGACAGAGTATGTTTACTATAACCACAATCATGAATGAACAGGAGGTGATGTAGATCACTCCCATTCATTCATAAATTATGATATAGTACACATACCATGTCCACAATTATGTACAAACATTCAGCAATCACTGATCGCTGAGTGTTTGCATTGGCTCTCCTTCCTGGCACGCTGTCACAGGAGGCTGAGCGAGTGGTGCAGGGAGGAGAGCTCAGCCTCCTGTGACAGCGCGGGCTGTCTCCACCCACACAGCGCTCTGCCGGACTGTGATAGGAGGCTGAGCGGTGTGGGAGGAGAGATGCCGGCCGCTCACAACGCTCTCCTTCCGCAGCGCTCGGCTGTCACACTTTCTCTCCTCCCCGCTGGGACACAGAGTAGCTCCCAGCGGGGAGGAGAGAAATCAGGGATGCCCCGATGTATCGGCAGGAAAATGGCACTTTGGGCATTTAGCCAAAAGTGCCATTTTCAGCGGATATGTTTCGGCGGCCGATATATCGGGGCATCCCTGCTAGAGACCAAACAGGAAGTGAATAGAAATATCTCCAAAGTAAAGGGAAATCCGATCTTGGACAGCTGTCACTGGAATTTTTACAAACATTTACCTTCACCTCCTGTTCTTATCACAGCTGTAACATTTTGGATTTCCCATCACTTTCTGTCACAGTGACAATGGTCACCAAGACACAGAGGGCGAATCTCACCAGCGGAGACAGACAACACTAAAAAACTGCCTGGGGTTCTAACGCTTCCCAAAACAAAAACTGTTTCGGCTTCAGGTACACTTTGAGGCCTTTTTCTCACATGGGCTTCAGCTTGTACAAGAGCAGTGTGTACAATAAACCTTTACAAAGCTTTGAAACAGTTTTGTTCAACCCTTTAACTGCCACTGATGTATAGCATACGTTGCTGGCAGCGGGCCCCTTTAAACAGACATCCGGAAGCTATACACTAGAAGCGATTCTCGTGGCTGAGCTAAGGACCCCCCACCCCCTGCCAGACAACCCACCTTGCTTGCCAGGCTCCGCTGCCCCTCCTGCAGGCCCGGGACCTGCATCATGGGTGACGGTGGAAAGCGGGGAAGGAGACCAGTTACACTAAAAGACCCCTAATGTCACCTTCAAGTGCACCTGTCACCACTAGTATTCTATCACATAGAGGGGTTTGTGAGCCCCCTTATGTGATAGCAATTAAGCTTAAAAAATTTTAATTCAATAAAAAAAAATGTTTAAAGTAACTCACCTCCACGAGCATGCGCATATCAACATAAACATGTGCTGGGTGCGCCTACGTACAAAAATGATGATCATGCTACACGTTAGGTATTGCCACATGCGCCAGAGTGAGAGCAATAATTCTAGAGCCAATATTCACAGATATCTCTAAACTGATGACCTTTACTGGCTTTTAAAGCATCACCCATGGACAATTTGGAGTACCATATTTTTTGCCATTTCAAAAACGCACGCAATTTTTAACCTGGCATGTTGGGTATTTATTTAGTTTATGGCTTTATTTACTTTTCTTAGTCCCCCTGCAAAGCCCCACAAATACCTGTTGATCTTGCCAGTGAAGTCCACCTAATGCAGCATCCTGTGATGCTGCGACACCAATGCTGCACTGCTCCTGAATTCAGAGCCGAGTTGCCACTCTCATGTAGGCTGTGCCTGTTTATACTACAATGGAAAGAGATGATGTTTATGGGGTGTGGTTATCAGTACTGTCACTTCTGATTGACAAGCCTGCCCACACCTAGTCTGGTCTACTGCTTTCTGCATTCACATCATTGTCTCTGCAGTTTACTCTATGAGGCTTGTGCATCACGTAGTGAGCGGATTTGGTACTTTTTTTAGACCGTCATACAGGAGCCTGTAGTTGTATTTTATCTAGTGCCAAAGCCTCTAGAGACCTACTAGCAGTTTGTTTAAAGTGACAGTCAACACCCATTAAGATGTGTGGGTTTTTTTGTTTTGTTTTTTTTTTTTTTTATTAATTAAAATGTGTGTTTAACCTCCACAAGCGGGAGATAAATGGTGATTTAAAAGCTTCAACAAGGCTGTCCATAAGTTCTGCAAAAGCTTGCTGTACACGCTCTTACACAAGCTGAAGCCCATGTGATCAAAGCCTAAAGTGCCATTTACACATATCCATGGCGATTAGAAATGACTGCCGCTCCAACACTCACACATACCGGACAGAAGAATACAGCAGAGTTATAACACATCACAACGCACAGATTTGACCTACTTGAACAATGTTGTGAACTACATTAAAAAGAAATGCTGCCGGTTTGTTTTTTTCTATGTTGACGTGCACTGACAGCCGATACAAAATAAATGCATTGTCTTAAAAAAGAACTATGAGGTAAGTGTTTTTTCCCCCATAGTTCTCTTAAGGGTCACAGGAGGACATAAACTAGCGTCCTCCCACGACCCAAAGCTCAGGATATCGCGAGCTACAGCTCGCGGTATACTGAGACCGCCGCAGCCGGGATGGATCCCGACAATGCTGTTGAGATCCACCCAGCTGTGTGAATGACAGCGGGCTCTAACTTTCTACAGGCAGAGGCAGCTCTGCCCGCCCCCTCCCCCGTCCGTTCCCCCAGTGAGCGCTGGAGGATCGGAGCGGGGAGGAATCCCTGCAGGGAGCGGTGACAGAGAGTCACCGCTCTCTGCAGGGAGATGATCGAGAAGTGAGCAAGCAACAGTATGTGTTCGCTCACCACTTCCTGATGTATTGAGGTGACACAAGTTTAACATGGGCTTTCAGGCACTTGCATGCGTTTTTGATGCGTTTTGTGAACTGGAGGTCAAAATACCATAGGAATACATTGGACGCAGTTTTGATCCGGTCTGCACCTGCTCTGGTCCGGATCTGCTCCTAAGGACTTGTTCACACGAAGTGCGGAGCAGATCCGGACCAGAGCAGGTGCAGACCGGATCAAAACTGCGTCCAATGTATTCCTATGGTATTTTGACCTCCAGTTCACATCGCAGCGTGCGGATCCAGACCAGATGCAGACCGGATGAAAAAACTGCGGCAAGCCCTATTTTACCTGCTCTGGATCGCATCAAAAACGCATCAAAAACGCATGCAAGTGCCTGAAAGCCCATGTTAAACTTTTTTTTTACCAAAACCGGCCCTAAACGCATCAAAAACGCATCCAAAACACGTCTAAAACGCGGCACAACCCACTGCACTGCGTGTGCAGAAAATTGACCGGATCTGGTCTGCATTTGGTGTGAACAAGGCCTAAGGCCCAGCGTCTTCCTTTGTTTACTTCACTTCCTATTGGCTTTCCAGCCTATTGGCTTCACTTCCTATTGGGGTCCTCCCAGGATTCAGATGAGTGACATCATCACATGGGGACTGGCTGGCGAGGGACCATCTGCAGTGCTGAATTTGCTGTCCCTTGCACCCAGAAACAGCTCCAGCGAGGGATCTGGATAGGGACCCAGGTGAGTATACCTTGCTCCCCAAGGTAGGGAAAACTAGAAACCCCACAGGATGGGTTTGGGATGACATAGGGGCCATACTTTGCCCAGAGGTCAGAAGGCTTGAATGGTACATTGTATGTTATCCTGTTGTCGCCACCTCCTGCAAGCCCTTTAAATGGGTTTTAACATCAGGGGCGGAGTTGGAGCCCTGGCCATGTGATTGCTATGATGGTCACTCATGGGGTCATGTGATCAGGAACTATTCCCACAGCTTCTGAATGGCTTGCAGTGACTGAGAGAGGTCTGTGACAGCTCAGTCAGTGTGCTGGGACGGTGCAGTGAACCCGCTTCCAGCACACAACAACAAATCCCCATTGACACATATACGCGTTTCACCAGCATGAAGAGGTTGATGCACTTTTAAATCAATCTGTCCCTATAGTTATGCTGAATAATAGAAGCTGCCTATAGAACCCGGTGTATTATCCCACTCCAAAGAAACAACTAGAAAGGTAACAATTTTTAGGCATGCTGTGTGAATGGGAGCACATAACAAATTTATAGTGGGAGTTTTATCAAACATGGTTGTAAAAGTGGACATACACTTTAAGTGGTGAGCAGTCAGTGTTTTAATACATCATCACCCCACCCCGGATAATGAGAGCATGTCCATCTCCCTGACTTTACACCGCCCCCACTTCTGTCATGCTGCCTCCTCCATGTAGATAGCTCACCTGGCTCTGTTCTCCTCTTGTCCGGACTCTGCTAGACTTCCACCTTCGTTCTCCTTGATAGCAGCAGCTGAGAGGCCTCCTGAACTGCCACAGTGACCCCAGCCTCTTACGGGGCACATTGAGTACCATGAGCAGCGCCATGTCCGGGGTCACGGGGTTTGACACACTCTAGAGCTCCAAGTCCTCCCAGACCATAGAGAAAAGAGGCTAGACCGTCTCCCCAGTGAAACGAGTTGGACACAACCGGTCACGCACAAGCAAAGCTCCGCCTCCTGTTCCTGGAAAGGCGTCAATCATGTCATTAGTGTGTGGGCACATGGAGGGTGATTGGCATTCTGGGCGACCAACCAGCAGCGGTCCTAAAAGCTCGCGAGAGGCTGCTGGCAGGGCACGCCGCCGTGTGCTGGATGGAAGACATGCCGGGGGAACAGCAGCAGGAGCCCGGCCATCGGCAGATTCGCTTCGCCGATGGCAGTGGGAGCAGCAATGAGACGGATAAGGAGAGTGAAGGCAGCGGGAGCCCGGACCTGGAGGTGGCAGAAAATCACTTGCAGCAGGTGGGACCTCAACTGAAACTGCTTCCCATGAATGACCAGATCCGGGAGCTGCAGACAATCATCCGGGACAGGTGAGACGAGCAGGCTTAGGCTGCCCACACACCTTACAATTTATCTGCAGATTTTCTGTGGTCAGATGGAAAAGGTGCAACAGATTCCTCCATCTTCACTAAATTGTGTGGATGGAGTAATCACCTGGGCCAATCTGTTGCACTTTTTCCATCTGACCACAGACAATCTGTAGCTAAATTGTAATGTGTATGGGCACCTTTAGCCATAGTATGTGTGTGCGCTATAACTGTATAGGTAGGCCATGGTACTGGTGTGTGTTCCAACAGGTGACATTCTAAAATCTATGACCTCAGTGCCTTTTATTACAATTTATAATTCATCTGTGTGATGTGAAATACCAGCTAATGTCTCTGTAGAATGGAGCACCAACGTCCTAGTGTATGTGGCCAGGTAGAACATCCTTACAGAGAGATAGATGGTGCTGACCTCTGGAAGCTGACTGGTGACTTGAATCCCTTCATGGAAGAAACATGGAACCCGACATCGCTGAGCTGCCCTCCTGAAGATGCTAGTAGCCTGCCTGAACCGAGCAAGCAGCTCAGGAAAGTCAGGACCTCACTTGGACACTTAATCCATTGCAGTGGCTTAGAAGGTTGTCAATCGCACAAAAAAATAATTCTTTCTTTAATTGTATTGAGGGAGTTGTATCTGCACACTTTCTTTTTTCTACGCAGGAGTAGCGTTGTCATTCTAGGCCAGTAGTAGGCAGCCTTAGCACTCCAGCTGTGCAACTACAAGTCCCATGACGCATTGCAAGACTCTGACAGCCACGGGCATGACTGCCATTAGCATATGCATGGTGAGATTTGTAGTTGCAGAACAGCTGGAGTGCTGAGGTTGCTTACCCCTCTTCCAGGCTGTGCAGAATGCTGGTTGTGCCTGCAGCACAGCTTCTGTGCGGAACCTCTGCTATGAACAGTGCACTCGGAGCAGAAGGTGGAGCACAAATCGGAGAGCCCACATGGCTTTTTGTATTTCAATGTGGTAGAATACGCCTTCTGTCCAGCTGATGGGTTGCTTCCAGCACAGGAAGTCCCCGTCCAGCTGGCGGGTTGCTTCCAGCACAGGAAGTCCCCGTCCAGCTGGCGGGTTGCTTCCAGCACAGGAAAAAACGAAAACTCTTTTCTAGTGGATTGTTGAAAGTGTAGGGTCCTTTCCTCAAGGCAATCCAATCATACCCGATCCCTGGAATTTGCGCAGAGTGTCTACAATACTCTTTGGAATGCTGTTGGACATCTGCATGACAAAAGCCAGTGCTTGCCCCAGATGGATGTACTTGTTGGAAACAGGTACAGGAATTTGGCACAAGTGGAAGCCTGAGAGAGTAGTTCCCCATCAGGCTGACAGCGTCCTTAACAACCAGTGACCCATCAGGTCCCTCTGATACAGATTGTGGGCAGGTTCAATAGCAGGCTGTCTATTAGCTATGGAATCCACCCACTGCTTACTGTCAGTCACAAGAGAGGCAAACCTGATTGGGCAACTAGCCTCTCACAGTTCCCCATCAAGCACCAACCACAATCATTGTTTGCTATGCAGGCCGCAGCGTCTTAGCAACCACTGACTTATCCCCAGACCTATTCAGCTACTGGTCGGGGAGTTCCTTGGCTGACTGCTGAATATTTACA